TATGAAGCATTTGTACTTATTGTAATGATGATTGTTTGTTGTTTAAGAGGATAGAAGGAGACAGATATTTGAAAATGGAAGAGAGAAAAAAAAAGGAAAATGGGATCACGAAAGTTTAAAAACTGCGATGGACAAGATTTTGTCCAAAAAAATGAGTTTGAGGGAAGCTTCGTCACGTTACAATGTTCTAAAAGTACTCTACATGATAAAATAACGACATTGAGCAGTGGAAAAGAAGTCACGTTCCAACCAAAAGTTGGTAGATTCACAAAAACCTTCTCACCCGAGTGTGAGCAAGTATTTTCTGACTTGGATTATTTGCCTTCAAACATGACTAACATTCTAGTAGGAGAGCCAGTAACCTCTTTAAACGCACCAAGTTGCAGCAAGGAAGTGTTCGTGACTTCCACTGATTTGACCTTGGCTAGCTCATCCATTTTCTATGATAATTTAGCCTCAGAAGAAACGACTGACCCTCCTGAAGAAACTACCAATGTAAAAACAATTACCATTCCCAAACCATCAATGAGACTTACTGTTCATGTTCTTCAGACTGTGCATAAACTGTCGCCATTGCCAGATGCCGCAAAAAAAAGGCCAGCGGCTCGGAATAGAAGAGGTGAAAGAAGTGAAATTTTAACGTCATCACCCGACAAAATTGCTGTTCAAGAAAAAGAAAATGAAAAGAGCCAGAAAGAACAAAAGAAAAGAATGGGAAATAAGTTTAAAGGAAGACGTGGCAATAACGACAGCAAAAAGGAGCCGCTAACTGAAGTATCAAATATAGAAAAAACTACTTGTGTAGTGTGTTTAAAGGACCACGACGAGGACTGGATATAATGCTCCAGCTGCCAAGAATGGGCTCATGAAGCATGTGCAGACGGTTCAGAATGTGGAGATGCCTACATATGTGATAGATGCACAATGTTTTAGAATGTCCGGCGCTTGGGGTTTGAAGATTAATCCGTCCGGCGCTAGGTGCCAATGTCAAAGTCCTTTATTTTTTTACCAAAACTTGTTTAACATTCCTAAACTATGTTTACGCAGAAGTTGTGTTTTTGTTATTTGATTTTGATTCAATGTTTTGTTAATTTAAGTAATTCATAAATAAATACATGTTTCTCGATGTAGTTTTAATTTTATTTCCTGAAAACCTTATGTGTCCGTCACTAGGGGACTTCCCCCTACATAGAGTACATTCGTTAAGTAATGTTATAAACCATTTTCAGTTTCGTAAAATGTGTTTTTTTTTATAAATAACTATGAACCATTTTTAAGTTTTACAAGTTGAAAGTAGTTTTTACGTTTAAAGCAGGTCTTTGTGTGAATTACATACGTGTTACCGTTCAGTGTTCCTCTGCACCGCACTTATTAATTAATTAATTACCATAATTGCTGTACCATAATTGAAAGCTCACTTGCTTACCTAGCTGTTATAATGATAAAGGCGTTCTCATAGTCCACGAATGCTATACACAGGGGCTGATTATACTCTTCGGTCTTTTGTATAATCTGCCGCACGAAGTAGATTAGGTGCCCTGAGTGGAGAGTTATGGTGTCTTTCCCTTCTTTTCGGACTTCACATAACCCTAGGATGTACCACCTAATCTTAACAAGTTCCACTTCAAGTTGCACCAGATGCGAGTCTAGTTGTTGCGTGAGTCCGTTATATGTAGCCAGGGTCAGTCAGTTGTGGTGGACCCCCGTAGCCCGGAGATTCTTTGCACCCCCGGCCCCTCCGTTACCGTGGTTGCCACCATGACCAGGAATAGCGGGGCCACTGAGCACGTCTGTGTTTGGAGGGTTGGCCTTTAATTGCCACGCTGGGCAGGCGGGTTGGCGATCGCAGGGTGTAGCTTATCGCACCGGTAACGCTGCTGCCCGTCACAGGCTTGTTACCTTTAGCTAAACCTCATAACGCATAAGTTTAACCGTTTTCTTTGTTTAATACCTGTCGAGTTGTGTGGCCCCTTTTGTTTAACAATATCAGTAGTAGATTGTATAATCCGACTAATTAAATATTAGATTAGCATTTAATCCCTCATATAAATTGTGTTTTGTTGCTAATAATGCTTGAAATCAATAAAGATAAGTTTTTGACGTTATTATTTATCTCAGATTTCAACAATGATGTAACTTACATCATTGTGTACTTTTGCTTTTTTAATGGGATTTATTTATTCACAGCAAACATTTTTCATATCTTCAATATAATAATTTCTTTATAATTTCTTCTACTTAGGAAATAATTATCATATAATATTTTTTTATAATTTCTTAATTCCTTTGTACACAAGACAATTACGAAATAATCCCAAAAAAGAAAAACCCATAGTTGAGTTATCTTCCAGCAAACCTTATTAGTGAAGAGGGGATAAAAAACAAGGGAAAGCTGTATGTACGTAAAAAATAAGAAATATAAATATGCCACTAAATACATTTATAAATAAAATATAATGTACTACATGTATACCATAACCAGATATAACCTACATTTACAATATTGACTATTTAAAATTCAGATATATACCTACATACAGGTACATCTGGTTATTCCTAAGAAAGAAAAATTCCCTGATTCGTCTCTTTCAAATAGTTAAAGATGAGTAATCGCTTATTGAATGGGGAAGGAATTTCGCAATCGTACCAAAGATACGGCAACGGACTTGTCATAGCGAGTTGAACTATGAGATGGAGTTCGGAGGAGAAGAGAAGATAAGAAGATTATCGTCATCATTCTTCGAGTACGCCCGGGGTCCGCTTTCCGACTCTCTCTCCTCCACTCTGCACGATCATCGACATCCCGTTGTGAAATTATTGGCACGCATATTATCTCTTACAGTCTTCCCTTCCCATCGGAGCCCAGCGAAGGCGGTGTGGCCAGACATTTCTTCCCCACATAGCACCAGAGGCTCTACTCTTGCAATTTATACTCAATAGAAAAAGAAAAGAAAAGTCAGTCAAAAGTTAAAATGGCATCTAATGAAGACGTGAGTGTGGCACGGAGTATTAAGCTATGACTATGGTCTACACTAGAAGTCACTGGTCTAATCTTATATTGCTTATCTTTTTTTTTCAAATAACCCAAGATTACTGTATCTCATGATTTATTGAAAACATGTTAGGGTGATTTCAGCGGTTTACTTGCCACCTTTGGGAACCCTTTTTGCAAAAATCTCAGTAATAGTCACTTATTAAGAAAACAATCTTTAGTCCTTTAAATACCAACTTACACTTAGTTTATTCGAATAAACGAACTTATTATGATGATGGTGTGACCTCGTCGTCCATCTCCGAAAATCATGCAGTTCAAGTATAACGCAAAAATGTTGTGTGTGGAAGTTCTTAACAAAGTAAGTTCCAAGTTGATCGTATGGTTACTAATATTTTACTGTGATGAACGGAGACTATTTGCAAAAAGACCTTTAGGTTTAGAAATATTGAGAAAAAAGATGGTAGAAAAGGATCAGAAGAAAACAAATAAATAATAATGAGAGTATACATATGTCAGATTTTTGAGAAAGAATAACTGTCTCACTAAACACGCACCATGTTCTGTAGTGTGCAAAACGAGCTCCGGGTAGTGGGCAGGGTCACTAGGCGCCGTGTTATTCTACATTGAATGGGCAAAACTTGGCGGTGTGAGGTGATTCGCGCACACCTCACATCCCACATTGGACACTATTGTCTAACAAGCAACCAAGTCTCTCGGAGTTCACAGAGTTTTTGCTTTATCTAGGTCTTGCGTGTAGCATACATCAGCAGAACTCCATGATAGAAAACCTTTATGATTAGTCGGTTCGAGTCGCAAGTAAAAAACGCAACAAGAATTTAAGAAGTGTGCAAGGGACCAGTTTGTGCCTTTCTGCAATAAATTCCCAACGAATATTAAATGTTAAGAAGTTTTATTTTTTATAATGTTTATGAATTAATAGCTATAGCTATATAATATAATATGTCTTTATCTAAAGACACTTTTAAAAAAATAGAGAAGTCTAAGCACAAGCAGATGTAAGCTTTCTTATAATATGTTTTAAAATTGTAGTAACTGGATTTATTTTAAAGTCTAGGTTGAGGACGTTATTAATTCAGATGTTTATTTATCTTTTATGTATTTTCGGGCATAGCTCCGTCATATATATAGACGGATTTCCAAAATTATTTATTTATTTGAAACGGGGTTATTCCAAAATGGTCCCATTAAATTTCATATGCATCTGACGCTGAGTTTCGACGACAGACATCGGAATTCTTCAAAAAATGACAGCAAATCAACTGAGATTACTGCTAGGTTTTTAGTGCTCTTTGTTAGTATTGTTTGAAATCGGTTCAACTTTTTTGAAAAAGGATTTATAACTCAACCAATTCCTTTACTTATTAATTTATTTGTATATGATGAATTATATTACGAGATCCATATAAATAAATTAATAATATGAAAAGGGAATACTTCAGTCAACTAAGCCGTTAGTTAGAGTAACTTTCTCCATTGGGTTACTTGCTGTACATAACTTAGTTCAGCCCTTTATTGACAGTTATAATAATAATAATAATTTATTGATATCAATACCAACACCACAATAATACATTTTTAACATAATAGTTATGATGTACTCATGAACTAGGTGTTTATAATAATCGATGATCCCTAACGTCTAAACTAGGCCGAGCCTGTATCTTACACGTTAGTGTCTTCTCAGGAATTAAGTATATCATAAACAAACATGTGTAACACAGTGTATTAAGTTGAGGTTTTAAACACAAAAAAATGCATAATGTAAAACAATTAATGTAAATAAATAATGTAAAAGAAAAAAACAATTGACTATTCTTACACCTCTAAATGTAGATATAACTAGATATGAATTACGCTCACTTAACGGATTAACAGTTTAGTAATCATTATCAATATAATGATTGGCTGTGAGGATAAATGAAAGGTATAAAATTACGCAAAATGATAGTTAGACAACAGTGATAGGTGTGGCTTGTCTTCGAATATGGGTCCACTTGTCGTGTTCGTAGCCTTCCTGGCTGCTGTTGCAGGATTTGAACTTCCACATCCATCTACATTTGCGAAGATTTTTAATGAAGATCAGTTTGAAGATTATCTGGATTTTTGGCTTGCACAGGAAGAACCCAAATGGGCAAACGCATCTAGTTTGTTAAGACACTCAGAAATTGGTCCCCGAAGCAGTGGTAAATATTTTAAGTATATCCCGTTAAAAAGTAGAGTTTAAGTCACCTATAAAATTAGATAAAATTAGATTATCTATTTATTTTAATTAGAATATCGCCATAGAAATTCCAAATTTTGTAATTTTCTTGGCAAATATAATATGGTAAATATAATATATTATATCTTTACTTAAGAAATAACTTAAGAAATAATGGCAATTAGTAGGAAGAGCGCATACTGATTAAGGATATAAGTAATTGCAAATTTTACTATATCAGTTTTTGTCTGCCTCTCTGTCTAGGTTGTACGCTCAACATAAATGGAGATCTTGGACAGCCGCAGCCTGTGTACATTCGTAGTGGCACGTATCTTCGCCCCACCGGTAACTCAGGGCAAATCCACCTCAATACCGGCGAGCAGGTTATCATTGGATGCCCCGGCCGCACCCTTCGACATCCTAATATTGCTTCTACATCACTCGTCGTTGGCGTAAGTATACAAGGGATCGAAAGTTATATCATAGTTTTACTAAAATCATTTGGTTCAATTAAATATATTATTTATAGGTAGATTGAATTTAAATTTAAGACTATTAGTAATAATGTGTACAATTTCTTAACATTATCGAAAATGCCAAAGTCTTAGCTAGCTACAATTTAATAATTAAATGTGGTCATCCATAAACAATCATAAATCAAGTGTGAAGTATTATTTGTATCGAGTATTTTTTCTGAGATATTTTTTTTCTATTCAGACCGCAACATGCGTTAACAACAATTTAGTGTCTGGCTCTGGTTGGTTAAACGGCAATAGTGCTTTTGGTCAACTGACTTGCTCAAGTCATTCTTTCCACGAAGCGCAAGCCACAAACAGCAGATGTTGGGGAAATAACATTGTAATTCGGTAAGCATTTTTTTAATATATTGGATGACCATTAGTTAAGTGCCCTTATTCATGATTGCATCATATAATGTTTTAGTGTTGGATTCATCGTGAACAATGTTTTCCATACACTGTACCATTCTTGCTTCAATCAACAACGCATGGAAGTAATTTATGTTGAGTATGAACAATCTCGTGAAAACGGAATTCATCAGACGGGTGTTGACAGACCCAGCTTTCTTGGTAAGTATATAAATATATACGGTTATTATATCATAAAGTACCTTAAGTTATATTGAGAAAGTTATAAGATTATATATTCTATTAATACTTGCAGCTGGTTCATTTTTCTCCGGTGTTCCGGTTAATACCATGTATACTCAAGTTGAACAAAAGAAGACCGTTGCTGAGTACGTTGGTCAAACTCTAGCCGATAGATACATCACCAACCACCAATTCTTCGCACGTGGTCACCTTGCCGCTAAAAGTGATTTCGTATTCGCTACCGGTCAACGTGCTAGCTTTTACTTTATAAACGCTGCCCCCCAGTGGCAACCCTTTAATGCTGGAAACTGGAACTTTTTGGAACAGGTATGTTTTAGTTTATAAAAACTACGTCATTCTCCGAAGTAAACCATCTCAAACAAATATCTGTTGCATCTGTATAATTTGTAACTGTAAAAATGCGTGTGATAACAATTATTGTCTCGACAATAACGTTTAACTCGTTTTAACGAATCCTTTATTGTACTTCTTTAGGATCTCCGTGCTCGTATCTCTGCTGCAAATTATAGAACTACTATTTACACTGGCACCTTCGGAGTATCTCAACTGCGTGACCAAAACAACCGTCTTGTTGACATATATTTGGTTCGTGACAAGAATCAAATACCAGTGCCTCTATATTTTTATAAGGTATGTATTTAAAAGTTTATTTAAGTGTACACTAACTTTTAATATTTCTCGATTCAAAGATACCATTTTTACGGGAATTAACATGACTATGTTATGTTAATAGGCAACAACAGATATCTAAATTGCCTGAAGTTTTGACAGGTCCAGCGCAAGATATTAGGTTGTAATGGTACTGTTAGACATTTAAGGCCTTACCGTAATAAGTATAACTGTTATTGAAACTACCATTGGGTAGTTTATAATATACTATCTGGAAATTGACAAATCAAAGAACGGAGTCCTTCGTGTCACAAGAAAGATAACTATTTATATTTTTAAATATCATTTTTTAAACTTAGTTTTGGCGTATCATCACACTTTTAGAGTAATATATAATTATAATTAAAAGCAAAGGGGAGGTCTTTATCTTTTGTTAATATACGCAATCGCTGATTTTTATGATTATTATTGTTATTGAAAATATTTCTTTTAAAAAATATTTTTATTATAGGTTGTTTATGACTCATCTCGTCGTCAAGGCACAGCCTTCGTAAGCATTAACAACCCCTACTACACCGCTGCTGAAGCTCGCAGCCTCACATTCTGTACGGACCGTTGCCGCAACAACAACGCCTTTAGCTGGCTCCGCTGGCAGCCGGACCGTATTGACATCGGATACAGTTTCTGCTGCACTATCGATGATTTCAGAAGGACTGTTCCTCACCTACCATCCTTCACCACCACCGGTCTCCTGACATAAACAATAAATGTTAATGAGTTTTATAACCAAATTGGACTAATTTTATTTTCTAGATCGTTAAGTGAAAATAAGTTTAAAATTATATTTTAAACTAGCAGTCTCAAAAGACTTTCTCTCCTCAACATTTTCATAATTTGTTATTCCTGGATTGTCCCTTTTCTGGGCCAACTTTTTTTATTTTTCTTCGTCTAAAAATTTTATTGGCTCTATGATATTAATAATAATGTATGATACAAAAAAATGTCAAATCAGTCCCGATGTTTGCCAGTTTTGCATTTAGTAACAAATGTAACCACTAATTTTATTTTCATACCAATTTTTTTAACATGACTAACATGAATATTGTAAATTTGTGGTTAGAATTGTATTTAAGTCTTAGCCAGATCTTAAAATTAATTTGGCTAGACCGCCCCATGGTGGCTGATGAAAGAACAAATCAGCGTTTGATGATATGAACAGCTAAACTAACGACTCCTGTCTGGTAATACAGTTACAATATATGCAGTTAGTTTTATGAAGCATTGGCGGCCAATAATTAATTTGTTTTATTAGCGAATCTTACAACAACTTAGAGAAATTGCGAGTTCTTTCTTTATTCAGATTTTTTCGTCAACTTTTTATATCATTATTATACTACATAACATAATGATACTAGTCAGTGTTAAGTTTTATTTTTTTATTTACATAACTACTCAATTGGTTAAATGTAGGCAAACCTTAAACCACTTTTTTTTTTTTTTTTTTTTTTTTTTTTTTTTTTTTTTTTTTTCCGTGCGGAAATCCCCTCGGATACCACCTGTCGGTGGCATGTCGGACTCGAACCGACTAAAACCGCACGCCTTCGCCGGGTACTAATAGCCGGGGAACCAGGTATACCCTAGAAAGGAAGGCCCTGGTGCCCCGACATACCTCGGGTCATCTACAGACGAGTAGACGACCCCCGCCCCGTGTGGGAACCCCATGTTCCCTGTGCTCCCTGGAAGCGAGCGCGCTTCGCAACGCGCTCGCCGCCACCCCGGCCTGCTTCTGCTAGGGTGACAGATGGCCTCACCTGTCACCCCCAGGCCTGCGCTTATGGAGGACGGAGGTCGTTCTGCGACCTCCGGCGCCTGAGTGACCTGCGCTGCCTGGCCCGTGCCCGGGCCTGGCGGGCCGGGAGAGTTCTAAAACCTCTCCCGGTCCCGCTCCGCCGTCTCCTTCGCGAGCATAACTTGCTCGCAGAAGGAGACGGCAGAGTTCCACGCACTCTCGCTCCGCACGATAGCCGCAATCAGGCTATCGAGCGAGAGAACTCCCACTCCGATGGCCGCCACGAGGTCTCGCCTCTGCTCAACCCACGCCGGGCACTCTGCCAGCGTGTGGAGAGCCGTGTCCACGGTCTGGCCATCGCAGTGGTGGCACTCAGGCGTTGGCTCCTTGCGGATCAGACACAGGTGATCTCCGAAACATCCCTTCCCAGTGATCACCTGCGTCAATCGGTATGAGAGGGTCCCGTGACGCCTCTCGAGCCAATCCTCCATAACGGGTCTTACCGCCGCAATGACGGCGTGCCCGGAACCTTAAACCACTGAGATTTATGCCACAACATGCAAAAAAGTAAGTAAATAACATAAGTAATTACAATAATAACATTACTTAATAGTGTTAAGTTTAGGGTAGATTACAAACGGGCACGCCGTAATCGCGGCGGTAAGACCCGTTATGGAGGATTGGCTCGAGAAGCGTCACGGGACCCTCTCATACCGACTGATGCAGGTGATCACTGGGAAAGGATGTTTCGGGGATCACCTATGTCTGATCCGCAAGGAGCCAACGCTTGAGTGCCACCACTGCGATGGCCAGACCGTGGACACGGCTCTCCACACGCTGGCAGAGTGCCCGGCGTGGGTTGAGCAGAGGCAAGACCTTGTGGCGGCTATCGGTGTCTGAGTTCTCTCGCTCGATAGCCTGATTGCGGCTATCGGAGAGTGCGTGAAACTCTGCCGTCTCCTTCTGCGAGCAAGTTATGCTCGCGAAGGAGACGGCGGAGCGGGACCGGGAGAGGTTTAGAACTCTCCTGGCCCGCCAGGCCCGGGAACGGGCCAGGTATCGCAGGCGACTCAGGCGCCGGAGGTCGCAGAACGACCTCCGTCTTCCATAAGCGCAGGCCTGGGGGTTGACAGGTGAGGCCATCTGTCACCCTAGCAGAAGCAGGCCGGGGTGGCGGCGATCGCGTTGCGTCAGGGAGTCCTTCCAGGGGTTCCCCGGCTATTAGTACCCGAGACGGCGTGATGTTTTAGTCGGTTCGAGTCCGACATGCGGAAATCCCCTCGGATGCCACCGAAAAAAAAAAGGTAGATTACAAAAACATAATATTTACGAGACGACACTTTCAATGCCGAACACACAAAGTGAAACAGGTTTCGCACAGGGAATCCACAGACTGTTCACGAAATGTGTTTTAAATTTTTGTTTTAGATTTACCTTTGTTATTGTTTGTCTAAAGGAAGGATTTAAATTATTTATTAGGCGGGGAATAATGTTTTTGATAGTTCTTTCACCGTAAACATTCACTGCACGGACTGTCTCCAGTCTTTTTATAGTTTTTGACGAGTTTGAATGTTATGGGATATTTCATTCTGTATAGAAGTGTTCTTTAAGTAGACCAAAAGTGACCTTTAAATGGATAGGAAATGTCTTGCAGAATTCATATAATTCCATTTCTCTCTCTCTAAATTGTTCTTTTAAGATTCTTCTTGGTAAGATGAGGTGGGTGATAAGGTGAGGTGGTATCCTATAATTGAGTCGACAAGAGCGTTATAAAGCAAACTCTTTAACCTGAAAGTTATTATATTTTTGATAATATATAGGTTGGCCAAGAACGCTTTTAACTGATCACATACTCGGTTGACTTGAGGGAGCCAGTTAAATTTACTATAGATGATCAGTCTCAAATATGGGTGTTTGTCTACTGATTCAATATAAGGACATTGTCAAATACTACTGTTTTTGTGTAGGCATAGATGTTCATGAGCCACAAGCCTAGCGCTTTCAGGACATTGAATTTTGCTATAGGGAGAACGTATGTGGATTAATTTGGTTTTATCAGCGTTCAGCACCATTCCGTTGTTATGACACCATTTGCTGATGTTATATAGATCTGCTTACATTTTAGTAAACGCTGTAGAAACATCTTTATCTGCAATGAGTAAACAAGTATCGTCCGCGTACTGATAGGAAGTGCAGTCGCTGATAACATTATTCATGCCGTTGACATATGCAATAAAGTGAAGAGGGCCAAGCACTGATCCCTGTGCTGTTCCTATATCGACTGTTATGGACTTGCTGTAGCTTTCATTTACGTTGACGCAGTAGGTCTTATTCCAAAGATAAGTTTCGCACCATTTTAGTAGTGGGACGCACACCAGTTTTGCGTGATTTAATGTGTCAAACGCACGGGAAAAGTCAATGAAACAGCCAATATCTGTTTCCTAGAATCTAAAGCTGTGTTTATATAGTCTGTGAACTGTGATAACAGTAAAGTTGTGCTTTTATTAGGTTGGAATCCAAATTGATTTTGTGATATTACATTATGATTTCTAGTATCAAGTACTTACATCCCATGAATTTTCGTAGCACGTAAAATATCGTGACCAGGGCAAGATAAATATGTGTAAAGTTTATAAATCTATATAAAAGTATTTAAATTTAAGAGAAACCTCTTGACATTTTTGAATTTTTTCATGTCCGTACTTATTTTCTTACATTTAACATTTTGTTAAAAATTTGGTAGCACTCTACATCTTTGTTACGTGCGTAATTTTTAAGTGTTTCAAATATTTTGGTGATAGTTTATTACATTATCAATAGTAGTTAAGGTGTAAAAAGGTGAGAATGTTTTTGTTAGATGTCGTGGATTCGATTCCCACCCAGGACAAATAATTGTGATGATCACGATTGTTTGTTGCGGGTTCGGGTGTAGTTTATTCATATTATGTATGTATTTAAAAATATTTAAGTATGTTTATCTATAGTCTGGTTGCCTTTTTTTTTATGTGTGGAAACCCCCTCGGGCCGTCACCCCACCGCGACCGCGGTGTAACATCTGTCACTACCGGCCATGGAGCGTATGACGGCCGGTAGCGAGAGATCCCCCCCGATGACTGCAATGAGGACCGGGCGCTGCGGCGCCCAAGCCGGGCAAATTGCCAGCGTGTACTGAGCCGAGTTCTCACTGCAATCGCAGTGGTGACAGGCGGGACTCAATTCCCTCCTAGCGACCGAGTGCACGTACTTCCCAAAGCAGCCGTGCCCGGAAAGGACCTGTGTCAGCCGGAAGGAAAGGGTCCCGTGCTGCCGCCCTGCCCACTCGACGATGACCGGCTGGAGCGCCTCCACGGCGGCAAAGCCAGCACGTGGGGCCTCCAGCCGGGACGACCAACGAGCCATCGTGCCTCGACAAGCGGCCTCACGCCACTCGCGTATCTCTTGGGGCGGGGCCCGACTGCCGCTAACCGCCCGGAACTGTGTAGACTAACGATATTTATACGGATGCCAATGGCCACTCGATGGCATCTCAATAGCGTGTCAGTGGTATGATAGTGGCTTGGCGTGAACATAAAATAGCAGAATTGAGGCCCAGTGCCATTGACCGGACAACCCCCGTGTACAGCCGTCTCGTTGCGAGGCTGGGTCCACCCAAATTGGGTAAAAGTCGCCCTAGGGCAGATGCAGCGCTGACCAGCTTTGGAATTTATTTTCATGTATTATAATTTCAGTACATTGTAAATTTTTATGATTCATTGTAAAATTTTAATGCTTGCATAATAATTTTAATAAAATCACCTTAGCTTTATGATGTATATTGTATTTAGATACAATTTTATAATAATGTAAAACAATAAGTATTCTTTATTAGAACTTTAAAGAGTAGAACCTCTGTAAGCCGAACTTCAAAGGAGACACCAAATAATTCGAGTTATAGAGTTTTAGACTCAGGCGGATTTTGTAAGTAAATATTG